AAAGAGTAGAGAAAATTGGCAAGATGTGTTTTAGAGCCCCGTTGAGCCCTCACGTAGGTTTTCCCTAAAAGTTCTGTTGTAACGAGGCAGGCTTTCTGGCATGGAATATGGGTTTGTAAACGTCGTACTGGAAGACTAATTGCTGTTAGCTGCCATTGAGAGTCACAGCCACCCCATGCGTAACAGGAGGAAACGCTGCCCAGTCCTGAGGCATCCCCGTGATCGGTTGTGGATCGGACCGTTGTGATTCATGGGGTTTTCATCAGCTGATTTTCAGAAGTCAATTGCCAGGCCTTTCTTCCTTCAGCACTACTATATCAGACAGGATTCTGACTAGCTGCGACCGCATTGACTCTGACGCGTGGCGCCCCCAAGCGTGTCAGAGCAGAACTGTGCTCCGCAGGGTTTTCAGTGGCTGATTTCTGGAAGGAGATCTCCAGGCCTTTCTTCCTAGTCTGTCTTAGTCTGGAAGCTCTGCTGAAGCCTGTTCACCATGAGTGACCGTGCTGGTGTTTGAAATACCGCGGGTGTCACAGCTTCCAGCATCCCAGCGACACGCAGGCCACCACCATACGGCAGTCTAGAAGATAACTGCCATCTGCCATCGAGTCGGCCCTGACTCATGGTGACTGACCCCGTGCACAACAGTACGAATTGCTGCCTGGTCCTGCTCCATCCCTGTGATTGCTGCCACATCAGAAAGTTGTGCTCCACAGTGTTTGCAGTGGCTGTTTTCAGAAGTAGATCCCCAGGCCTTTCTTCCTAGTCCCTCTTAGTCTGGAAGCTCTGCTGAAACCTGCTCAGCATCACAGCAGCACGCAAGCCTCCACTGACAGACGGGTGGTGGCTGTGCATGAGGTACATTGGCCGGGAATTGAACCCGGGTCTCCCACATGGAAGGCGAGGATTCCACCACTGGACCGCCAGTGTTGTCCTCAGAGGCAGTAATTAAAACACCAAAACTTGTTGCTGTCGAGTCGATTCCGACTCATGGTGACCCTCTAGGACAGGTGAGAACTGCCCCGTAGGGTTTCCAAGGAGCACCTGGTGGATTCCAACTGCCAACCTTTTGGTTAGCAGCTGTAGCTCTTAACCACTTAGACTCAAAAATATGCCAGTGGACTCACTCAAAAAGCTATTTAAGCTGGGCTTCTGCGTTTCAAACCATATACGGCGGTTGATTTTTAGAAGCTTCGGTTGTTAAAAGATTCTCTTTTCTTTTTCCTTTTTCTGTCTTCAATGTGATATTTTCATGTAACTTTAAGATTTTTCTTGATGAACCCCACATCAGCCCTGAACGTCTGAACCTTGAGACAGATGTTGTGCGTTTGATTGGGGGCTCAGGGGGGCCACCCCCAGGCGGCCTGAGTCCTGGCCTCCCTCCCAGGCTTTCAGAAACAGGAAGCATCCAACCCACATTCAGTCTTGTTGGTTTTGTGCCCACGTGAAGGGCGGCGTCAGGCGTCCCGTGGATGGAACGCGGCCCTTTTCAGACTTCCTCCTCTTCGGATCCCCTTTGCGCCCTCAAAAGAAGACCCCAAGAAGCGTTGCAGTACGTGGGTTATGTTTATCAACGCTTACTGTATTAGAGCTGACAACACAGAGAGTGAAAGCGTATTTAACCATTTAAAAATAGCACTAAAACCAGCAACAGTAGCCGTGGAGTCGACCCTGACTCACGGTGCCCCCCTGTGCGTCAGAGTAGAACTGTGCTCCGTGCGGTTTTCAGTGGTTGAATTTTCAGAAATAGATCGCCAGGCCTTTTCTCTGAGGCGCCTCTGAGTGGACTCCAACCTCCAGCCTTTTGGTGAGCATCCGAGCGTATTAACCGTTTGCATGACCTAGGGACTCCTAGGAGTAAATAAAAAAAAACAGAAACAGTTGCTGTGGAGTCAGTTCTGACTCATGAGAACCTCATGTATGTCAGAGTAGAACTGTGCTTATAGGGTTTTTAATGGCCGAGTTTTCAGAAGTACATCACCAGGCCTTTCTTCTGAGGCACCTCTGGGTGGACTCTAGCCTCCAACCTTTCGGTCAGCAGCTGAGTGCATTAATGGTTTACGCCACTTGGGAAGTCCAAAAACAGCAATAGCACACCATTTACCTGTTACTACAATAACACTTTGTTTATAATAAAAAAGTAACTATAGTATTCAAAACAGACAAAACTGGGGAGAAGAGTCGCCTTGTTTTACATCTTTGAAGACCTTTGTAATTACCAGCCGAGGGGGGACACAGCTAGGGTCCCCCATCTGCCTTTGCAGTGTGTCTCTCTGGATTTGTTCTAGAAGCAAATGAAGAAAATCCAACGTCTCACACCTGTGTGATCGGAAAAAGCGGAACCTCAGCGAACCCCAGGAAGGATCTTGCAGGCAGACCCCTGGGGGGCTCTGACCACAGCTTGGTTGTTGTGATGTGCTTCCAAAAATCAGCCAGAGAGAACCCTGTGGAGCACAGGTGTCCAATTTCCAAGCTCTCACGGGGATGGCGCAGGACCAGACACGTTTTGGTCTGTGGGACGTGGGGTCGCCATGAGTCGGCAGCGGACGACAATGACGATACTTTATGGGGTGTCCCTGGTGATGCAAATGGTGACCGTCCTCGGCTACTCACCAAAAGGTTGGAGGTTCAAGTCCGCCTAGGGGTGCCTCAGAAGAAAGGCCTGGTGACTTGCTTCAGAAAATTCAGCCAATGAATTTTGGAGCACAGGTCTACTCTGACACACATGGGGTCGTCATGAGCTGAGTCCATTCCACAGCAACTGGATTTTACTGGTTTGAAGTGGGAGGTGAGCTAACATTCCATTCCCTGGCGTGGCACCCCAACACCAGGGCCCTTGTTTTACGTGCTCTGTCAGTCACCTGTGTGCAGAAGGCCCGGCGCCCAGCTCTCAAACTCAGTACAGACGAGGCCCGTGAATCTGCCCCAGCAACAGCCTCGACCCAGCTTTGGCAGGGGGTTCTGCTGAGCTGCCAGCATTCCAGCTGATCAGATACACGACGATGGGTCCATTATAAACCTCGGGACTGTCTTGTCTCAGTCAAGGTTTTCTAGAGAAAGAGAACCAGTGACATATATATATGTATATGTATTGCCGTGAGTTGGAATCGACTCGACGACGGCGATGTTTTCTTTTTTATACACACACACACACACACACACACACACCAGGGCTCCATATATACGTGTGTTTGTGTATATATGTATGTACGTGTGTATATACATATATATGTGTGTGTGTCTGCTTATATACAGGAGCCCTGGTGGCGGGATGGTTAAGAGCTTGGCTGCTAACCAAAAGGTCTGCAGTTCGAATCACCAGCCACTCCTTGGAAGAAACCCTGTGGGGCAGTTCTACTCTGTCACATGAAGTCACCAGATCTTTCTCCACTGACCTTTTGGTTAGCAGCCGAGCTCTTAACCACTGGGCCACCGGGGCTCCATATATACGCGTGTGTCTTTATATCCAGGAGCTCTGGTGGTGCAATGGTTAAATGCTCAGCTGCTAACCAAAAGGTCAGCAGAGAAAGATCTGTTGACCCCACGTGACAGTAGAACTGCCCATAGGATTTTCTAGGCTGTAATTTTTATGGGAGCAGGTCGCCAGGTCTTTCTCCCGTGGAGCAGCTGGGTGGGTTCCAACCGCCAGCCTGTATGTTGGCAGCCAAGCGCTTAACCCTTTCCCCGCCAGGGCTCCTTACGTGACTGACAACGCCTGCAAAGATCCGGTTTCCAAACAAGGTCACACTCACAGGTCCCTGGGGTTAGGACTTCAACACATCTTTCTGGGGGGCACCATTCAATCCCTAACCATGGACCTCAGAACAGAACATTCTAGAACATTCGGGGCACCTTTTCAAATTTGCCCGAAACCCGTTGCCTTCGAGTGGATTCCAACACAGCGACCCTACAGGGCAGAGTGGAATGGCCCCATAGGGTTTCCGAGGCTGTCATCTTTAGGGACGTTGGCCGCCACATCTTTCTCCCGCAGAGCAGCTGGTGGGTTCAAACCACTGACCTTTTGGTTAGCAGCTGAACGCTTAACCACTGCCCCACCAGACCTCCTCAAATTTGCCAAACTTTAAAATAAAAAAAAAGAGCGAGTCTATTTCCCTGCCTCTGGAATCCCTGCATAAAATTCACTTGGAAGAAAGAACGCACTCTTTGCTAAGACTCTCCCCACGAAAGCCAGCCTGCCGGGTCCCCGCAGCCCCGTCCCCACGTGCAGCCGGAACTCGCACCCCGACCTGCAGAGCCCTGTCACGTCTCACGCTGTGTTTGTCTCGCTGCTTTTTAGCAGGTGCCCGTCGCAGGTGAGCGGAGGCAGCCGTGATGGACACCAAGGGCTTGGACGGCTCACAGGCTGACCTGAAGCTGGTGGCACACCCGCGCGCAAAAAGCAAGGTGTGGAAGTACTTCGGCTTCGACACGGACGCGGAGGGATGCATTCTGCAGTGGAAGAAGATCTATTGCCGCATCTGCATGGCCCAGATCGCCTACTCCGGCAACACCTCCAACCTGTCCTACCACCTGGAGAAGAATCACCCGGAAGAATTCTGCGAGTTTGTCAAGAGCAACACAGAGCAGATGCGCGAGGCGTTCGCCACCGCCTTCTCCAAGCTGAAGCCCGAGTCTTCGCAGCAGGTGGCCCAGGACACTCTGGCCACCAAGTCGGGCCATGGCTCCGACACCAAGAGGCAGCAGGAGCTGACGGCCGCCGTCATGGGTTTCATCTGCGAGGGGCTGTACCCCACGTCCGTGGTGGACGAGCCCACCTTCCGGCTCCTGCTGAAGACGGCCGAGCCCCGGTACGAGCTGCCTAGTAGGAAGTTCTTCTGCACCAAGGCCATCCCAGAGAAGTACAGCGCCGTGCGCGAGGTGATCCTCAGGGAGCTCCGTGACGCTCTGTGGTGCGGCATCTCCACGGACATGTGGCGCAGCGGTAACCAGAACCGTGCGTACGTGACGCTGGCTGCCCACTTCCTCACCAACGCACTCCCCAACTCACTCTCCCTCACGTCCCGGTGTCTGAAGACGTTTGAGGTGCCGGAGGAGAACGCGGCGGAGACCATCACGCGCGTGCTCTACGAAGTGTTCATTGAGTGGGGCATCAGCGCCAAGGTCTTCGGGGCCACCACCGACTACAGCAAGGACATCGCCAAGGCCTGCTCGCTGCTGGACATCCCCGTCCAGATGCCGTGTCTCGGACAGACCTTCAACGCCGGCATCCAGCAGGCGTTCCAGCTGCCCAAGCTGGGCGGCCTGCTGGCGCGGTGCCGCAAGCTGGTAGAGTACTTCCAGCAGTCGGCGGTCGCCATGTACATGCTTTACGAGAAGCAGAAGCAGCAGAACATGGCGCACTGCATGCTGGTGAGCAACCGCGTGTCCTGGTGGGGCAGCACGCTGGCCATGCTGCAGCGTCTGAAGGAACAGCAGTTTGTCATTGCCGCTGTCCTGGTGGAAGACAGCAACAATCACCATCTGATGCTGGAAGGCACCGAGTGGTCCACCATCGAAGGGTTGGTAGACCTCCTCCAGCCTTTCAAGCAGGTGGCTGAGATGCTCTCGGCCTCCAAGTACCCCACGATCAGCATGGTCAAACCGCTGTTACACATGCTGCTGAACACCACGCTCAACATCAAGGAGACAGACTCTAAGGAGATCAGCATGGCTAAGGAGGTCATTGCCAAGGAGCTCTCGAAGACGTACCAGGAGACCCCCGAGATCGATATGTTCCTCAACGTGGCCACCTTCCTGGACCCGCGCTACAAGAAGCTGCCCTTTCTCTCCACCTTCGAGCGTCAGCAGGTGGAGAACAGAGTGGTAGAAGAGGCCAAGGGACTCTTGGACAAGGTCAAGGACAGCGGCTACCGGCCGGCGGAGGACAAGGTGTACGCGCTGCCCGAGGAGCCCCCGGTGAAGAAGCTCACGCTGGTGTCCACGCCACCACCGCCCACCAGCGTCATCAACAACATGCTGGCCGAGATCTTCTGCCAGTCGGGGGGCGCTGAGGACCAGGAGGAATGGCACGCCCAGGTGGTGGAGGAGCTGAGCAACTTCAAATCCCAGAAGGTGCTGGGGCTCGGTGAGGACCCCCTCAAGTGGTGGTCCGACCGCCTGGCGCTGTTCCCCGTGCTGCCCAGAGTCCTCCAGAAGTACTGGTGCGTGGTGGCTACGCGCGTCTTCCCCGAGCGGCTCTTCGGCTCCTCGGCCAACGTGGTGAGCGCCAAGCGGAACCGCCTGGCCCCCGCGCACGTGGATGAGCAGATCTTCCTGTACGAGAACGCCCGCAGTGGGACGGAGGCCGAGCCGGAGGACGAGGATGAGGGGGAGTGGGGCCTGGACCAGGAGCACGTATTCCCCTTGGGGGACGCCCTCGGTGTCAGCAGTGGCTTCTTCGGGATCCGAGACGGCGGGTTCATGTAGCGGGAGCGGGGGCAGGTGCAGGTAGCCGGGAAAAGGGGGCTTCCACCGACCTGTGGGACGCTTCGCTGTAAATACGGACACCACGTAGGGTCGTCCTGGCTGGATTTTTTTAACTTCGATCCACAAGCTTTGGAACAAACAGGAAGGAGAGGGGGAGAGACAGCTCTGGGTGTCTTGAAAATTGAACGTTTTGCCTGGGAGTTGGCCAGCCTTGCCTTCTCCCCTCATCCTGGAGAAAAAGGGAAATGAAATGTGGAAGACTCTACACTTCTGCGTGCAGACATTCCCTAGCCTTCGCCTACGTGGCATAAACACACTTTATGTGCTCCACTACTGTCTGGGAAGTTGGCGGTTTGAACCCACCTGGAGGTGCTGTGGAAGAAAGGCCTGGCAATCTGCTTCCCAAAGGTCACAGCCTTGAACACTGCAGAGCACAGTTCTACTCTGACGCACCCGGGGTCACCACGAGTTGGAGTCGACTCGACAGCAGCCAGTAGCAACATACTTTGTAGGATTAGAGCGAGGGGAAGCTGCTTCAGGAGTCACAATTGAATAGAATTAGGACACCCCAGGTGGCACAAGCAGTTAAGCACTCGACTACTAGCTGGAAGGTTGGCGGTTCGAACTCACCCACAGGCGCCTCAGGAAGAAAGGCCTGGCGATCTGCTTCTGAAAGGTCACAGCCTTGAAAACCCCACATTGCACAGTTCTATTCTGACACACATGGGGTTTGCCGTGAGTTGGAATCAACTGGACGGCAATGAACACCAGTCACCGAAAAGGAAGAGCCAACGCCAGAGTCCACAGTTGAAGCAGAGTTTGTGGGAGAATTTCATTCTTTGCAGACACTTACACATAACACACAATTTGTGTTTTCCGTGGCGGGGGGGGGGCGGGGGGTTTGAATCACAAAAACAAAACGTGCACTCAGCAACTGCAACAAAAATTAATTATAAGACAAAACAAAACAAAAACAGGTATAGGCAGAAGAGAAAGGGCGTTCTCCATGCACCGTGGACTTAACTCTTGCCATGTGTTGATAAAGGGATATATGTTTACATTTTAATTTAAGAGAAAGCTGTGCCTCGGAAACTGGGAAAACGTTCTGTAGCAACGGTGCCCCTGGAAAAGAGACGCGTTGTTCGTTTGGTGGAAAAAAAATGTTAAAAATCAGCGTAAAATGCAAACACTTATTAAAAAAGCAAAAAAAAAAAAAAAAAGACACATCAAGTGTGTTTTGTGTTCTGCCTTGTTTTGTCTTCCTCCCCTTGCCAAAATCTAACCTGTGGAGGCGGTAGTTGTAAGCCAGTGCTGGGTTTGGCCCAGAATGGTGTTTTTTGGGTGTTTGGGGTTGTTTGTATCTCAGTGTTGAGAATGGCTTAGAAATCTGCTCTCAAATACAGCCAGCCTTAACGCGCCCACAGCGGCTTCGGGACATATAAAGGGGTGTTTGAGATTTGACTGGGAGTCCCCGGGTGGTGCAAATGCTGAACGCGTTGGGCTGCTAACTGACAGGTTGGAGATTCGAGTCCACCCAGAGGCGCCTCATAAGAAAGGCCTGGCACTCTACTTCTGAAAAATCAGCTACTGAAAACCCTGTGGAGCCCAGTTGTACTCTGACACGCATGGGGGTGCCATGAGTCAGGGTTAACTCGACGGCAACTGGGTTTTAGAGTTTAATACAGGAAAAGAAAGACTCTTGTATTCCCTCCTTTAAGCTCCGTAAAACCAAACCAAATCTGCTGCCATCGAGTCAATTCCAGCTCACAGCGACCCTGGAGGACAGAGTAGAACTGCCCCACAGAGTTTCCGAGGAGCGACTGGTGGATTTGAACTGCCGACCTTTTGGTTAGCAGCCGAATGCTTAACCACTGCGCCACCAGGGCTCCATTTAAACTCTGTATTACAGGACAGTTAACTTAAAAAAAATGGCCGTGAGATAGTTCAAGGTTCACTGTGGGTTGCTTCCTACTCTTCAGGGAAAGATAAAGAAATTCTCAAAATGTAGACCTACATTCTCAACCCCAGGAAAAGTGCCCCCTTAAGTCACTGCCTTTTTCCAGAAGACACGCGCATCTCTTAGGTTCCTATATACGACTCTTCTGCTTATACATTGAAACAACCCACGTTGGGAAGTTGGTCTACAGGGGGCGTGTGGTTTAGAAGGAGTCCCTGGGTGGTGCAAACAGTTGACATGCTTGGCTGTGCACCCAAAGGTTGCAGGTTCGAGTCCACCCAGAGGCGCCTTGGAAGAAAGGCCTGGCGACTTTCTCCTGAAAAAAATCAGCCTTGGAAAACCCTGTGGGCCACAATTCTACTCTGACACATGGGGAAGCCAGGAGTCGAGGTCAACTTGACAGCAAGTAACAACAAGATGAAAATGTCCCAGCGAGCTGTGTTTGGGCATTTTAAAATTATTTTTAACTGATTTTGCAAGTCTTGCACATTTGGTTGTGGTTTTCTTCTTTAACATTTTAGAATTTGACTCTTGCTCAGTAAACCAGAGAAATTAATCTGCTACTGATTTATTCGTCTGATATGTGTTAATAACGGTATCACTTTATTTGTTTAAAGCCTCTACCTGGGAGAGGCTGGCTGTTGAGACAGACTTTTCTGGACTGCAGACAAGTCCACACTGATTTTTGTTCTTGGGTTCTTGGACGTTGTGAAGGATGAATGCACTTTGGATCTTTTTTGGATCATAAAGCTGTGAGCTAGGGAAACACTCCCATCCGTGGTAGGCGTGTTTGCATTTTCCTTCACTGGGTTTTCTTTGTCTTGGAAATGGTGGTATGGTAACTGGTTTTCTAAGACTTGGGTCTTGTCTTGAGAATTAAACCAGGACTAGGGGGTCCCCAGGAGCCCTGGTGGAGCAGTGGTAACTGAAAGGTTGGGGTTCCTTGGTTGGTTCCCTGGTGAGATAGAGTGTGACCGCAGTGGGTTTTTTTTTTTTTTTTTTTAGGTGGTCCCCATGAGTTGGAATCCATGCCACAGCAAGTAACAAAGACATTCTTAGGAACGTCAGTTCTACCTCCCTTCTTCTCTTCCTCCCTTCCTCCCTTCCTCCCTCC